TAATAGTATATATTTAAACCATAGATTCATATTCTAATCTGACAGAAAAACGAAATACGTAACATTGTTATTGAAAGAGAAGTAATATGATATTAAAGAGGAGTAATATAATATTAAAGAGGAGTTGGTAAGTTAAGGGTCATTTATAATATAATAAGGAAGTATTGGCAGGTGAAAGATCATGTATAATAAAATGTTTTTTATATAAATAATATATGCATGTTATTTGAGATATAGTACAGTAGAATTTAATAGTAGTGTTGGTAGTGAGTATATAATATAGTAAAATTACACGTATAAATGTGAAGTATAAATTACGAAGTATAAAATATGAAATAAGGAATATAAAAACAGTAAATGTGAAATATAGTATGTTTAAAATTAGTAATCTATAGAAGTAATAATATAAAATGTAAGAGTAGGTTAATTGACAATAAAATAAGATTGTGTAAGCAAAATAAACAAGATTGTATAAGCTAAATAAAAAAGTAGAAAAGGTAGAGAAGTAAAAAAGGTAGAAGGAGAAAGACGTGCGTATAGCAGACATGACGTTAGTCGAACGAGAAGACATGACGCTAGTTTTCACAGACAGGTTTTTGCGCTAGGATCGTTTTTACATCAGCTGGCGCAGATCCGGAAAATTCTAGCTCACGTCGATCTATTGCTTACTGAGTTCATTTTTAGAGCTTTTAGGTGTTTCACTGAATTCTTTTTCAGTTTCTGGATCTTGTTGTAGGTGGTGCAGTGTCTAGTGACGTCAATTCGGGAATCAGCGAACGAGTGCAGCGGGCATTGGCTGAAGCTCGGAAACGGTGCTTGAAAATGGCAAATGTTGCTTGCGAGCAAGCACTTCGAAAGTATTACGCACTTCGGGCCAAACAAATCGAGCAAGACGATGCGCCTGTGCAGGAGCAGTTGTTAAGAATAGTCGGTGGACTTCATACAAATTTTGATTATATATGCATACATCATATAAAATTTGAATTATATACATATAATTCAAATTTTATATGATGTTTTTATATATGTTTTTTATATGTTTCATATACACCATATATACATGCGTACACATGTATTTCATGTACACATATATATGTATGTATATATATATATATATATATATATATATGTATATATATATATACACATATATATACATATATACATATATATATCTGTGTATACCCGTATGTTACGCATAACTAATGCATTTTACATAAGTTGGCAGCAGTTTACGGAATGTGTAATTCGAATGTTTTGAGTCAGTTAAAATCTGTGATAATAGCTCGAGGAAATCGATTCCATTTTCTGTTTCGCTTGGCGTCTGATGCATTGAAATATGCCTGACGTGCAAGTTACTCTCAGGTACGTAGTCTCACAAAATACAAGTTTCTAGATCAATTTTCAAGACTGCAGCTTCGCAGCTCACTTTGTTCCCAAGCTGGTTCGTCCAAACATACACCTGTGGGAGAGTTTGTCGCAGTGCTAATATTGGGTGGCCTTGAAGACTGGCACCAGTTCGGCTGATCTTGGTAGTCTTTGCAGTTTGAATGAGAAGCAGTGCTGGTAGCATGAGAAGTTTTTGTCACTGGAATGAATTTATTTCAGGGGACGGAGCTGTTGGGCGAGCTCGGCTCCAGAGTGCTTGACTACAACGGTCTCGGAGTGCTGGTCGGGATGCCGGGCATCGAGCCAGTCTACATGGGCGCCGCTCTGGACCGGAGCGCCGACACAGGCACCGTGCTCGACATGAGCCTGCCGTACTAGCTGCTCTGTAGTGCTAAAAACTGATTGAAATAAATTCGTTTTATTATGCGTTTTTGCATGACATCGAGAATGAGCAGTGCTGGACGAGTGCTGCTGCACACCGCCCTGGAAGCACACTTTTTGCGTGTTCACTGTGATGTCCTTTCGGGAGATGGGCAGTGGCAGGCCGGCATATCAGTGATGAATCGACGATAAACTGAAAAGAAGAAAACACATTTTTGCAGAACTAATCACTGCTATAAAAAGGTCTGTCAGGGCACTGGCCGTGGCGTGTTAACCTGGCACTGATAACGGCATGACGAACCGATCGTGTATTCCTGTGTTTCGTGCTTTCCTGTTTTTGTGTTTTGGTAAGCTTTAACCTCCTTTCCCCGTCTTACTGAAGTCACTGTATCGAAATACAACGTTTTGTTTTTCGACTTGGCATCGTGCTTCTGCAGTACTCTCCAAGCAAGTTCCACACTGCTGAATAATACACTGTTAACAAGTCTTAGCATAGTATGCGTT